GAGAGACGATGGAGCAAGTAACTCACAACACAAACGCTATTGGGTTCCCGGCCAGCAGTGTTCTTTAACGGCGATTCCGCAATCCGTAAGGCGTACGAGACCGAGGATAGCTAGGCTGGGAGTTCAGCATCAATAACAATACACCTTATCTGAGGATGAGAAACACACCACAACTAATGTGCCCCAATACAAAAAGAGATTAAACATTACAGACCAAAAAACTAAAACGTGACAATGCTAAATATCCAATTATGCATAAGGTTAGAGATCGTTGTTCGAGAGGAAGCTAAAGGAGAGGTGATGGAGCAAGTAACTCACAACACAAACGCTATCGGGGTCTGCTTTTACCCATGTCAGCTAGTGTACCCAACCAAACGTGTTCATTGTCCTTCGGACCCTAGGTCGGCAATCAGGAAACCCCAACCGACGTCAAGTTATGAGTGACGGCTTTCATTCCTCTTGACCAAGTCATCGCTTGGCCTCCTTCCTCTTGCATCCACACCTCGAGCGCCCGAACAACGCACGATGCCGGAGTCAGTGTGCTGGCATGCGAAACGTGACCCAACCAACGGAGCCTAGTGCGTGATATAATGGTGCTGAGCGGTTCACTCGCTCTTGCTGCACCAAATACGCGACGCCGGACAGGCCCATCGCTCACGCGATATTCCCACCAGACATGAGCTAAACTTCATAGGCAGCGATGGTCGAACATAGCTAGCCTCTTTATGTCGGCTAATCGAGTGGGCCAGGTTTAGAAACCGTATAGGAGGGTTGAAAGAATGCTTGCATTATAAACTCTGCCCTTCAGAGGGGGTGATGTCACTCCGGCGCGACAGGTGGCGGAGATTGGCAAAGGCACTCAGAGCTTTCGCTTTATGTTTCGTTTTCATATCTTCAATCCCGAGGGTGCTAACATAGGTGTCCAGATAATTAAAGTTCTGCACGACTTCTAGCTGATCACTACCAAAGGTCACCAAAAGGGTAGGTCCCTGCGGATCAAGGAGAAGGACTTGGCATTTCGATGATCCCAAGAAGTATAGCCCGAAACGACAGAGCTAATCTATACAGTGCAGCTTGGCACATTTAAGAGCTGCCTCAGACTATGGCAATATCGTCAGCATACTCCAAGTTGATCATCAGGAAGCAGCTACCATGACTTCGTCAATGGAGAAGTTATAGAGAAAAGGTGACAGCGAGCAACCTTGTCTCACACCGCTGATAATATTGAAGGGCGGCGAGTCTGCCATAAACCCTCACTCTGCCAGAACTATGCGCATATAGCCCTCTGTTTACGTATTTATCTGGCACACCTTTCCTCATTAAACAGTCCCAAAGAATACATCAATAAACCGAATCGAAAGCCCTTTTGATGTCTAGGACGAGGACTACGGTGGGTCAGCAATAAGCACCGCAGTGTTCCAACCATTGATGTAATGTGGTCGATGCAGCCTCGATTTCGACGAAACCTGGCTTGCCCCTCGCACACGGGGCCAGTTAGTCTATGCAGGACAACAGACGCAGGCGATTTAGAGGCAAATGAGATCAGACTGATTCTTCTATAAGTGCCGCATTCCGAACGGGATCCTCCCTTGAAAAGTATAACTATGACGAATCGACTTCAGTCTGTCGGGACAGAATCCTGCTCACACATATTAAATACTAAGTTATGTAAATGGTTCAGAAGATCAGATTCCCCGAATTTGAAGAGTAAATGAGGTCCATCTGCTCCGGCGGCCTTGTTCAATTTCGACAATCTGATCCCCCGTTCAATTTCTGCGCGTGAGGGCGATCATTGGCCGGTGAAACTGGCAACGCTGACCGAGTGTACGCTTCAGTGTTCAGCTCACCGCTCCAACCGGTTCGACAAGTTGTGGATCGCTACCTACTATCATCGCATATAGTCTCGGTAACACCAGAACTCTTGCTGCGCTTTTCTCTTATCAGGCGGTTAATCACGGCAACGGGCTTATTCCAGTTCCGATGCGCGATCTCTTCTCAGACTGGCACGCAGTTTTCCCTGAAATATTTGCGAGTCTCATTGTATTCGTTTCTAGCCGGAATGTATCGGCGAGCTCCTAGACGTTCCAGAGACTGAGTAGAGACCCAATGTCTAGTTTGGCGATTAGATTCGCCACATGAATACATGCCTGCTGCTAATAAAGTCTGGCGAATATGTGACCAGTGATCGTCAAATGTGTTCAGTGAGCGCATACTCAGTTCGGATGCTAGGGTACTTTGATGCGCACCCAGAGCATCTGACGTCGCCAATTGGCAAGTATCTAGCGCTCACAGCGCCGTTGTGGACGTCCGCTGGAACGTACGCGAATGTCGACGCAATCAAGTGCGTGGTCGGAGTTCGTGCTCGCTCTCCAAGTCATGCGAATGTTTGGAATACGGCCACTCCAGCGGTAACGGATTGTGTGTGGCCTGATGCTGGTGGACGCCGTCACTTGCTTGCGAGTGCTGTGTCGGAAGTTAGTGGTTGCGAGAAAGAGACGAGCATCGTTACACAGGCGTAGCAACCACTTACTGTCATCATTACGGGAGCCGTCACCTTGTTGGCCGCCCAGATGAAGTTCATCAGTGTACAGTACTTTAACTTGGATGTTCAGCAAGCACCACAGTATCCGTACATTGTCCGTAACGAAGGAGAACATTAAGTTGGTGATAGAATTCATCCTTCACCGAGTCAGGGCAATTTGTGGGCGTGTAGGCCGCAATGACAAACAAGCAGAGTTGGTCCCCACGCAATTATGAAGCTTTGAAACAGCCGGCCGATCTTACAGCGCACATCTAGCGCTTGGCGTATGGCAGCCTCAACCCGAGGACTCAAAACAATGCCCATGCTGCTCTGACTGGCATTTGAAGTTGCGTCATCTCCAGACAAATGCCTCCAGTGGCGCATGTGGAGGTCGCAGGGTAAGAACGTAACTGGGATCCTGGAGCAGGCTTCCAGTAAACCGCAAATATCGATCGGACAAGTGCTATCTGTTAGCCAATCTGCAACAAATTGCGCACGCTGAGACATTCCAGTTATAGTGAGAACTGAAGACTCCAAAGACGAACGGATGAACTGACGTGCGCATAGTTGAAGATGGACCTGTCGACTGGACAGGAGCCGCACCCTGGGAGTGCGTGAGTTGACTAGGAGACAAATATTGAGCCTAATTAGGGCGAAACGCGTCTGGTGCTTTTCCGGACTAGTCTGTGCTATGCGGCTTGTGAACTACTGGGATGAATACCTTTAAAAAAACTATTGAAACAAATCGAGGGCTAATAATTGAGGGATTGGAAATAGTGAAGTTGGAAGATGATAAGTATGAAAAAGCGCAAGAGGGCAGAGAAGACGAGAAGCCTTAAGTAGTAGCAACCAAACCCTTATCCACTCTGCTCGATGTAACAGATAGGGCGCCGTTTATTAACCTCTGAGACTGCCAGAGCATCAAGGGACTTTGTAAAGGGAAAGTCATTGTGTTGTATAGCGTGGGCAGGAGTAAGGAGGTGCACTCACCCCAGCCTAGAGGGCCATGAGACTGTGCTTGTCTGGCCACAAATCATTGGCCAATTTGGTATGAGTGGCTCTGAAGGTCCAAAAACACCACCTAGCATAGCTCAATGAACCGCTAAGCCACGTAAACCGTCACACCACGTTAAGGTTCAGTCTCATCGTGATGGAGTCACTAGTAACGGATGGATATTGTTACAGCGAGCAAATAGCTCGCTATTGTGCCGCAAAGTCATATTATTCCTAGAAAACGAGATCGTGATTGCAGGGGGCGGTTAAGCTAGAGAGGAGGCGAAAAAGAAACGCATAACACTAATGTTACTGAGATAAGCTCCCGAGCATGTCAACAAGCGTATCCAACCAAACGTGTTCGTCGTTATTCGCACTCCAACTAAGGAGCCGAGAGACCAATTTTGAACTAAGGACCTACATTCCTCTTAACCAAGTCATCTCTTGGCTACCCCTCTTCCATCCACACCCCGGTCGCGCAAACAACGCACGTCGCAGGTGTCGGTGTGCTGTCAGGTGCAACATGTGACCTAGCCATCGGAGCCTGGTATGCAGTACAACGGTACCGAGCGGTTCACCTCCTATTCCTGTGCCGAATACGCGACGCCGAACACGCTCATAGCTCACGCGTTGTTCCCACCAGATATGAGCCAAATCCCGAAGGTACCGATTGTGGAACCTAACTTGCTGCCGCACGTAATCGAAGCATTCAGTGTACGAATTAAAAATTTCTTGGACAAATACTTTGCCGACATGAAACATCAAAAGTGCTCTCCAACATAACTGTTTATTGTACCTGAAGGATTTTAGACATGGTTAAATAGACAACGTCGTGCTGCTTCCATGCAGAATTCGGTACTCAGTATTCATGAAAAACAACGGAGGCAGAATCGCCGCATCATCACCATGACACAGTTGGTGGTGAGAAACATACTTCGGCTACTGTAACACAATAAAAACGGAACATTTTGTTACTTCTCAACACAGCTGAACGATATTAAATCCGAGTTAGCCGAAGAACCAACGGACTTCATTTCATAAAAGGAAAAAATTAACGCATCTATCATTTCCTTGTAAACAAACAAACGAAGAGGAGGATGTGGGAATTAAAAACAACTGGCCTTTTCCCAACCTCGTCGGCAAGGAAAGCATGCGTAAACAGGAAATCCATGGTTGAAGAGTGGACAGGGGAACGGACCCCACTCTTCCTCGTAAGCAAATTAATTAAACAAAACGGAAGCTTCATATATAGCTGTATTGTGGAGGGGAAGCTACATGCTTGTTTGTCGAGATGGGATGTTGTGGTCGGAAAACCAGTAACCAGATCATTAAAAAGAGCATTGAGCTAGGATATGATAATCTCCTGCCCAGAGAATAGAAAAGCGGCGTAAAGTGATTACCAACCTATTGCAAGAGAACTCGGCTTACACGTACCAAACGGATCAAAAGATTTTTGATTTCCCGCTATCTGCGCAAAACAGAAGTAGTGGCCAAAAATGAGTTTATTGCTCCGAATATCATCAGAAAACAGAGTCAATAACGTTAACGTGCTTGGAGCAAAAGGGGAAACAATGCACACATCCAGAAAGTGATGAAGCCAGTGCAGATAACACTTTAGAGTACACAGATTGCCCAAAGGGGCTGGACCGATCAATGATACGGTCAGCTGTCAAAGGCGCATTTATCGTCTTGAGGAATCTTTGGCCAACGCAGCATATTTCCGATCGTTTTCATGAGCATATTCGTCCCTCCGGTCGTCATCCATCGAATGTCGTTTCTCTTTCTAAACGAAAGCAAAGGAAAGCTATGATAGTCCAGCAGTCAAAGAATATCAAGGAAGTTAACGGATGGAAATGGGTTTTCGGGCATTCATTCTTCACGAGAATTGATGGAACAGAAACTGATAAGGAATTGGGATGCAATCAATATAGTGTATGTATTTGAGAAATGGACTATGCCAGAAGTCAATGAGCGCTGATAACAACAGGTTGTGTAAAATGTGATGGGGCCTTATGAAATCCTATAAACAACAAAGCCGTTCCCATATATTTAGTTGATGGCATCTGGTTTCGGATTTGTCTGTCACTGTGGCCAGCGACAAGACGCCTACGCCTACAGAGGGACCATTGGTGGCTTGCGCTGCACCACCCACAACTCCAACCACACACACCCCATATCCAGTGGAAACCCAAAGGAATATATGACCGGGAGGCATGTGGATGGGAGCTACGTTTCATCAACGGAGTCGACCCACACTCCTTCACAGGCAAACACATGCACCCTGTATTTGGGAATCAAGCGCATACAATGCGGTGGCTGGACCGTAGTCCGCTCCACACACACAAACCGTGTGCATGGAACCAATTCGAGCCTAGCAGAGCAACAAGGACCGTGCACTCCGTTTTCTCCAGCATCGACCAGCTGTCTCCTGGAGCCAGTATAGACGAGGTGGTGGGTAATGGACAGGTAGACACTTAGTCAACATGCACATTCAGCGCAGCCTCACCGGGGATGTCAAACAACAGCCAACCACTTGAAATGACATTATCAAATAAAATATATCTGTTAAAGAACACGGCTATGTCCACATAACTCTTGGATAAATTAGCATACGGATCAGGTTAGTTATCAAGGAATCCGCGATAAGTACAAAACGTCCATAAGTTACCCATAAAATAACAAAACACCATAAAGTGAACGAAGATAACCACAATTAGCGTAAGCAACGTAGCCAGTTAATAGAAGATTATTCAAGTAGGCAAATTCAGGTAAGCAAATTAAGTGGAATGAAATATATACAGTTTAAAGAGACCTAGTATATATATATATATATATATATATATATATATATATATATATGTTGATGACGTTATAGCGTCTTTAAGTTTTGTTGCAATGCTAAGACGTACCATTTTTAATGAAGATAAAAATCGAGTTGAACTGACACGCTTTTGCCAACGGGAACCAGATTTAGCTCCGAGTTCGCATGTCGATGAACTTGTCAAATACGCTTTTAAAATATTTCCGAGGCAAAGTTTCGTAGATTAGCGCTCACAACTCCCGAAGGGTTGGTTGTGCCGTGTGCAGCCGAGCGTTATCGTAGAAAAATTGGTCTCATACCGGATACATGTTTTAGTACATTTCGGTAATCTGGAAATACTACTCCGCTGTAATGATTTCAATTAGATTCAGAAAACTGTGCTGGATCAGACCAGCAGTCATACATAACCTCTGCTGAGTGTAAGTTAAGCTTCTGGAAATGTTCTGGAACATGATCGCGGTTTAACTATTTAGCAGTCAATTGTTGTACAGGAACCAATTTCATCGCACGTCAGGAACCGGAAAAGGGAAAAGTGAACAGACGACACTGCTGGATGACGAAGTTTTGAATGCCTGTTTGCGCAACTATTATCAAGCTTTTTCCAAAGTTCGATCACCAGTAAATGTTTGAAGACGGTCGCATGAATAGTTCTAAGTCAGAAACTATGTCCCGAAAGGATTTGCGCGGGTACGATTCAACTCGGAACTTAGAATGACACTTGTTCACTTCCGATAACACACCATAAAGCTCCTCAACTTCAAGCCTCGCGTAACCACATTGTGATGTACGATCATTTGTGGACCCGGGAACAAATGCTGACGTCACAAACTGCATTTCGACAAAATATAAAATGAAACAAGACGATCGTGCAAGTTTGTCTCTTGTCTGTAGAAAGGTGATTCTACGTTAAACCGTTACTGATGGTAGAGTAAGAAACGACTCAAAATGCAATACGATATGAAAGCAGATTATTAAAATTTACAAAATCAACAAGATTAAAGTAGCGAAAACCGAAAAAATAGTAAAATAATGACGGAATATAACTATCACCTACTATCAAACAAAATAGATCAATAGTGGGCGCAATACGAGCAGAATAGATTCCCCAACAAACAAGACTGCGGAATGATTCATAACCTTCGTGTGGTGGCATTGATAACCATACAAAATATCGGCACAAATGTACTTTTACACATATTATCGCTTCCGTAGTTAACACCAAGTGACCGCTACTTATTTCGGTGACAGTTAGGCCCAGAAAGCGATTCTATCCTGAGGTCTATCTAACGTTATTTCTGATAAAACATAAAACTACAACTGGGAGGGTGGGGCGGTTGAAATGATTTGAAACGTGACATCCGTAAATCATGATAATGTTCAACAAGCAATCGGTAGTACATTTGAGTAGAGAAGTAAGCTGACAACGGCTTGCATGTTTACATCATATCAATTTTTAAAGCAACACCAAGTCAGTGAACACAAAGTGCCAGCCGTTAACATGTCAGTTTTATTTCGCTCTCAAATCAGATAAATGGAGCAGGCAAAGGTAAGCAACTCAAACGTGCTGTAAAAGTACTCGGAAACAACAGAAAACCATGGGAACTATCACATAGGGTGACAAAAGTCTTATCAACTCAAGAGCATCTAGTGACTAATGGATGTGATAACCCTAGCGCATTCAGGATCAAAAAGGTTACTGATCATTACTACAAAATAATAGAGCTGACACAGTGTTCAAACGCCCACTCCGCTGTGTGGTCTAAGTATGTGGAAAGTTATAAGTATCCGTTAGTTATGAACAGCAATTGTAAGCTACTTGAAGTGAGTTACAAGCGCAATCAAACTTAATTATCACATAACCCCGATGGAGTAAACGTAAAGCATAGAATGGATGTCAGGGAGAAAAGAAAGACTAGTAAAGCAAACGTACATTATCCGATTCGCTGGATGGCTTCAAATCGCGCGATTTCCTCATCAGGTTTGATAAGTGATTTTTGAATAGCTCGTCCCTTTCAGCACGTTGTAATACGTCACTGACAAGTTCCCATCTATCATCTTTTCGAAGTATCTTTTTGGCTTCCTTCCAACTGATGTTTGGATCTCTTATTGATTCAGTTAACATTGTACGAAAGTTCTGCTCTTGTTCTATATGCATCTGTTGCTCACGCTCTTTCTCACGTTCGCGGAGTGAAGAAGACAGTGCTTCTTTGACTTCCCTTTCGCGCTCCCTAAGTGAGGCCTCCTGACGCTCCTTTTTCTCGCGCTCCTTTCTCGATTCACTATTTTCACGGGAAGGAGGGTTCTAAAAGCGAACAACGGTGTGTGGTGAAGAGCAATAGCCAAGAGAGGACAATAGAAAGAAGACGAAAAATGAATCGCAAAAATCACCTCATCTAATTTTCGAATGTAATCTCTAAACCAATCCTCTCGTTTAGAGGAAGAATCGACTGATTTGTATCGGGGATCGGAATCGATCTTCCGTTTTACTTCACTCCAATGAGAATGTCGGGAAATGTGCTTTTGTTCCTTGAGGAGAGCGAGGAAATCTGACTTCACCTGAAAGGAAAAGATTAAGTGTGAGAGTAGAGCATGACATAAGTGGATGCTTCACACAACCCTTTGTGGCCCGCAGAACTATAGAAGAATCGCTGGGAGCTTCGCGCAGATCTAAAGAAATTGAGACTTAGATCAAAATCAACAGCTAAATGAACAGCACTAACAGTGGCAGAGGTGCGTATTTCGTTTTTCCCATCAACGACTAGCAAATAGTGTTTTCTAACCAATATATAATGATGAAGGGACGGGAAGCGATGGCCCTGGGATCACGACAACTGCACATTGATAACTGTTTCTTGTTGCAATGCTACGTGCTCATATGATCGAATCAGGGGCACAATAAACTACAGAAAACAATTTTAATTAAAATAAGAAGCGGAAATGATCCGATATCAGAAAATCAGAAGTAGAAACTTAACCAGAACGAGAAAAGCATCTTACAACCAGATAAGTCGTAGTTGTAGGGTCAGTAAAAAACAATGAACCAGCCACAACTGTCGACAGACCCTTCCCGAAATCGAGTGCGGTGAAAAAATATGTGAAAATATTCGTCAGCCGCACTTTGAGATATTGAAAAGGAGTGAACCAAGTGATCAACGATTGAACCTTTTGCAAACAAGATTGAGTGTGTAACCAAAAGGGAGTTTCACGAGGAGCCACTGCCCAAATCGACATTGCGTTTTAGTCCAAACAAACAGGTGTTCCAAAACAGTACAGCGAACAAGAGTTGAACATTTTCCTAAGGGTAGTAATCCGCAACTGTTCAAAGATGAACTGGAAGCAAAAGTACAAGTGCTGCAAAAGCTAAATCGAAGAGTATCGTCGACTGCGCCAAATGGTTTAAAATGACCGCCAGATGTCACAACAAATTGACTAACAATCGCAGAACCATTCACCAACACTTCGTAGGGCTACAGATGTGTTGAGTTCATATCGGGTTGGCAAGGCTTACTGGTATTTGCTGATTAGCCAAAGGCATATGCGCCTTTGCGGCCAGTCACAGAATCCAGTCTAACGTAATCCATTCGATCCAGATTCACAGTATGGCGGCGTAGATCAGGCTCATAGATTGATTGATTCAAATAGCTTCCTCGGTGCTCGGACACAAAACAACTGCACAATTGACGTACTGTTGGAGGTGAGCATAAGTTAAAAATGATTAACTGAAAGACGATGAGTTTCATTTAAACAAGGCCAGTTGAAGGGTTATTTCTGAGCTAGTCACCTCGGTACATACTGGCTGGTCGCATGAAACAAGGTTAGCGAACGGTAACAAGCCTCCTCTGCGAACAAAAGGGAGGATTACAGAACACCTAGTATCCTCCCCAGTGTAAGCTATTTGATATCTTCGATAACTGGGATTGAGGTCCACTGGGGTTAAGTAGGCCGAACTAGCAACAAAGCAAATCCCTATGAAGACTAATTTTTGGAAGAATGCGGATAACTGTCAGTTGAATGGTATTTGGAGGGGATATTTGATAATCACTGTAACTAAAGAATTAGAAAACTTGTGGGTATAAACAACTTTACGAATCCAAGTGCTTTCGAGTGGGCTTATCAAACTGAGCACGGTCAACCAGGTTCTAACAAACAGACTAATAATAAGCAAATACAGGAAAGAAAAACGCTATCCCTAGATGCTTTTTCAAAGCGTCCAGCGTAGGGGTCACTTCAGTAGCATCTAATAAATATACCACTGAGAGCAGCGTATTTATGGATACTTGATCAGCTAATGTTTCTGTAACGCTATCAGAGTTTTTACGAACAAGAGGTTGAACGCTGTTTTGGCCCAGTGTAATAATTTTCACTGGTGAGTTCGAACGAAGGAGTTCAAATGTATTGGCTCATGCCAAGCGTTGATCGACATGCTGAAGACAGCAATCAAGAGACGAGGTACAAAACACTCTTAGCTCTTGTCAGAAGTGGGGAGTGCGATTGCTGCAAAATAAAAAGAACCCCTACTGAATGCAAGATGGTTCCTCAGTGTTGCTTGTAAATGCACGAGGAACAGAAATACGAATCTTGTGCTCCGAAACGTTTAATGAATGAGTTGCACGTGAAAATAATAAATGTTATAGTCGACTAAGTTACAAATGCATAATTTTTTCTGAAGTACTGGCCAATGGACTGTACAAATTGTGAGATAGCATCTGGTAGCTACCTTGTACGACTACCCAGGCTGAGCTTGATGAAAAAAGAAAGTTGCACGACGTAATAATGTTTGGCTACAAGCTAAGTAAATGTCTGCCTTAATGATATGGTCGCAAACAGTATCAAACACCGATAAATGCTAACGGCTGCATCGTTCATCAAATGAAAGGAAAAGAAGGACCAAAGAATAATCAATAAGAAATGATAGTTCAATATGTACCTTGGATGGCCTCGGATATCGATTGAACTAAAGTAACGGATCGTAAGACAATGGAAGGAAACGGTTAGTGCGGTTACCAGGCCATCCGCTCGGGAAATCGTACGATCATATCTCGGCAATCTGAAGACCGTGGAAAAGACTAAGCCGGTAAGAAGTACAACTTTAACACAAGCTCAACAAAAGGTGTCAATACTGAAATGAAATTAAGTAGGTCCATAAAACTGTGAGCGAAAACACGAGTGCATGAAAAGCAGCTAGGGATTAAGCAACAGGCCCCAAAAGGCCACGACTATAACCATGCTGGGGAAGACTGAGAAAAGTGAAGCGTCAGCCCAGACGCGTTAGGATTAAGAATGGAGAACTCACATTGGACTAGGATCAAATTAAATTAACGGATTTTTGTACGGTAATTGGTGGTGATAGGTGACAATGACATAATGATGGTCCTAATTTGTTGTCATCAGGTACACAGATAGTTACGAAAAAGCGGAGCTTGGCTCAGCAATAGATTAGAAAATGTGAGTACGTGTACTTGAGGAGATCAGTAAAGGGGATAAATAGTCGGGTTTATTCCAATTTTAAAGGTTTGGGAATACGGTGCGGCAGTCGGCAAAAAACGAGAACATGGGTCGCAATAAATGCGACATTAGACTAGTAGCACAACTGAAATACTTAGCCAGGTTGTTGCATACTGTGTTCGTGGATGGGGTTCCCGAGATGGCTCAACTTAGTGGTTGGAGAAACCCGGCAGACATTGCGCAGTCGAGCAGTCAGTGGCGTTTCTGCATTCGGGTTTCTTGTATCTAGTTTGCAATTTTCAATCCATCCCCATTAGCCTACTGTGCTTCTTTCTTGATTTTATTTTCTTCACATTCTAGCTGCATTCAACCTCATTCTTCTTCTGGCGACGTAAGCTGTGGTAGCTGGATCTACCGCACTTCGTTGACTGGAATTGCATTAGAGTGAACTGCTGCATAATCAAAGTAGCACAGTCCCGTGCGGCAGCAAACTTAATCTGAATTAACTTCAGACGTATAAAATGAGAATCATTAGCACTACAGCTAGTAAACCGATCGACGACGGAAGAGGAGCGCATTTATGTAGGGTCGTCTAACAAGTTGAGCATTGTCTAAACGTGGACAAGGGAAGGATACTGTCAGACGCTGCTAGTGATTTAAACTAGAGGGATTAATAAAAAAGTGTGGGTACAAGCCTGAACAGCCCTGGATTCAGCTCACCCTCCACCACCAAGTAGCACTTATCCGATCAGACGATTAAAAGTCCATGAACCTGTACTCAAGTCAGCCAGACACAGCACTTTGGGAGTAACCTGAAGGGATAGGTAGAAGTGCATCGCATGAGCATCAAATATTCGCTTGAATAATGTCAAAAACAACACACTAAGCCAATATTGGTGCAGCAGATTCGCACTGTACAAAGATAACCTGACCTCATAACTCGCAACTGCAATTCAACTGAATATTGATGAGGGCTTCACTCAGTTGTTTGAATAACGTGTAGATAATTGTAATCACTGCTGTAGTAAGCAAGTGGAGCAATAATGAGAGACCAAATGCATGTAAATATAAGCTTGAAAATCGTCCGATAGGAGGCACCAGGAGGAGAAGTACAGGAGGACCACTGATGTAATGATTTTGCAATTTCTGGACACAGCAAACATCAAGCAGACAACCGTTGTTCGCTTTGTAAATAGCTAACCATCCTGGAGCGTCCTTAACCTGTGATATTAACAGATAAGCTAAAGACCGGAAAATGAACAAACACAGAGAAAATAAACTTGTGGCTAGTTACGTGTCTGTTGCACGGCTCTAACCAGTTAAGCACCAGGAACTTTCATTATAAATGAGTAACAACCTCTAAGTGCCGGTGGTTAACAATGGGGAACATGTAGATTTCTAACATCTAAAGTGATCAATCCATACCTATACGACAGTTCATGTTTCGTAACAAGCTTAAGTGTGAGCATACAAGCGAAAACGGCGACAACCACCTGAATATGTAAACAGAGCGTTCACAGTGGATCCTTCACGGAATTGCGCGTAAGCCTAGCCCCACGGCAATAATCTACGGTTTAGTGATGAGCGCATCGTCTAGTTGACATAACGGCTAGCGTTCTCAAGCTCACGGTTAATGACTTTTATTAGCCTTTATGATGACTCCCATATGCACCGCTGGGGCTCTGCGGACACTGGGAAAGATAATCAGATGCCATTTTCGATTGATGATTCAAGAAAAAGTACGAAAAGGGGACAGTAAACCAAAAAATGGACTGACGCAAAAACATGCTTTAAAGTAAACTAGAGTCAAACACCTACCGATAGCATGTTAACTCGCATGGTCATGAGCGCCAGTGAATGTCAGAGGTGGATAAGAAATTCATTGCTACGGATCACAATACCAGGTGATGGGCAGTCGCCCGCTAATCACTGAGAACCATACCAAAACGACGTTAACAGTTACCTGAACCAGTGATAATCATCTGGTGTCCAATTCAAGCATGGAGAAATGAATCATTTTGCTATTACCTATCTTACTGACGAGTAGTAGTCAGCAGCAGACAGATGACTAACGGACCAAGAGTGATGTCTGAAGGTATGCCACGAACGGCAGCACTTTATTAGTTGGGCACCGCGTGCGTGCTTTGATCAGTTTCTATGAGCTTAGATAAGTTTTCCGGAGTATTAAGGACAAGCCACCATAAGAACGAATCAGAAGCGGATGGTGGTGCTAGAATATAACAGACTTGTCAATGCAGACATATACTGATCTTGACATAAGTAGGCCATACGAGAAACAGATTGCGTCCACATCACTCGTAAAATTTCAGCAAATCGGTACTGAAGAACGACTATCTTTGAAAAGGTCTAACCGAGATGTGCCGCGGAAAGCAAAGCACGTGTAGTCATAAATAACTTCATCGCAGTGATGCGGCTACCGATAAAATTCGAGTGGTAACGTATATTAGAGCACATTGTTTGGTCGACAAAATGGTAGTCCAAAAATGTAATAAATGCAGAAATATATGTGAAACGCAGTTTCTAGCTACTTCTGCTTTACTTGACTGCAGTCCCTGAAAACTAATGTAAAGCAGATGAAGTGGAACACAGAGGAGCAAGCGAAAGGATACAGATGTTACTAACGCAGTATAAATAAGAAACATGGGATGTAAAAGTTGAGAGGCACAGTAGGCGCATTCTTAGGAATTAAAGTCGGCGAAAATGTCATCGAGGGGATAATAGCAACGCCACATGAACAAATGACGCACCTTCTCCTTTTCCTTGTGCTTCTCATCCTTTTCCCGTTTTCGGAGATCTGACAAGAACTCTTGAAAGAATGATTCACGCTCGCGCGCCTTTTCGATGTTCTTAAAACGCTCGTCTTTGGCATACTTCGCAGCGAAATCACTAAAGGAGGACCTGCGGTTAAATAAGGGTAGTAGTAAGAAACAAGTGGTATTTACGCACGCCTAGACCTTTATAAATACGCTCAGTATCTTTGAGTTTCCTAATCTTATAGTGGTGTAACCTATGCTGAATAGTGAACCGGCGTACTGTGGTGGCCGGACTGTGGTGTGGGCTTAAAATTCGGACAGCGGACATCTCGTGCAAAATGACGCACTGAGTAATGCGCCAGATTAAGCTTCACCAGCATCAATATACGTCAGCTGAAGACGAGAAACGCCTCACCTTATGCGCTGTAATACAAAAAGGATGGGATGCTAAAAATAACATTACAAAAAATTTAAAAATGTATTATTAAGTTAGATAACATTTTATTGATTTGTTATGAGATCGCGATTGGATGGGAAATCTGGAGGAAAGGGGGATGGACAAAGAAACCCACAACACAAACGCTATTGGGGCCGGCTCCTAGCCATGCCAACCAGACAAAGTACCTCATTACCTTCCCCAGATTTACATTGCATCTTCACAAGTGCGTACTGAGTAGGCTTTAACGAGTAGTGATAACTTGTGTAACCTTGTTAGTGTACAGTTAACAATGAACGCAAGTTTCAGTCTAAACACGACAAAAACACAAAATAGGCCACTACCAGGAGAGCCAATGAGTTCAATTTAGGCACGTTCCCCATGGAGTTGGGGAACAGCTGATGGTCACGTAATCTCAAAACGCAGTCACGTAAGATAACAGCCATGGGCTCATCTCGATCTTCGCAATTGTTGCAAACCTACTTCGCACCTCAATCCAGACCGAAAGGAAAAAGTCTAAACGACCTTGTTTAAAACGTGTTGATCGCAGTCGAAATGTAATTGTATAAAGGAGGCAGAACTTTGGTTTTATTACTACCAAAATGGGCGGTGTTACGCTGACCCAGCCAGGACAGCGTCAGTCACGTGCAGTTCGAAATCGATGCGATAGTCCATTGCAATCGACGAACCGCTGCAGCAATGGCTTTTCCGAGAAATTCTTACTTTCAGGACAGAAGTGTATATAACGATGAGGAATTTATCTAGTAGTGAAAAAGCGCACGATCGGTCGTCAGTTTGCCACGGTGTAAGCCTTAACCAATGAGATGTAAAACGAAATCCAAATAGGGTTGAGAACATTAATCACTGTTATAAACCAACAAAGGCTGCGTTGTCAGCCACAATAGAACTCGGTAGAGGACAGCGAAGTAGGACTGCATTATGAGAGATATTTGAGTGAAAATGAGATGGGAACCCTTGAATCAATTTTTGATTACTAATCGAGACATATCGGTCAAGGTAACATGTTCGGTGCTTTGCTCAAATAATGAGCCAGCCTGATGATCCCCGCCTAACACTCGACGATGCACTTCATTAATGCAGACACGCTGGTGTCATTCCAGACCAGCAATGCTTCGCAGACCATGGTGATCAAAGATTACAAGGCAACTCAAGTAGCCAAGTCTAACTATTGTAGCATAGGAGTGTCCGTTCTGTGGAATTGGAAACAAGGCATTTCAGACCGAGGAAAACCCCTTTTTGATGCCACAGGTGTCCCAGACAGTGTGCCATGAAATAGTACGGGATATTGACTCCATTTAAATAAGTATTTTTGTTTATTACGTCCAAGACCAGCCATACCGTGTTAAAGGTTTATTGGGTAGAATAGCCAGGAATTAAGTGGTATTAAAAACTCTAGGGTCAGCAGCGGATCTTTATCCACAACTTACAAGGCCAGGATGGCCGATTGTGTTCTTGAGAAAATGTTGATATTCCTCCCTTTCGAAGCATTGTCACTTGTTCCGTCTTTCATACACACTGTTTCCGTCATTTACGCGCCAAACATAAAACGACTTCATGCACGCAATAAATCTGGCCACAAGCTGATAGTTGTGATGACATGCAATGTCCAAATTGGTATTTGCAAGGGATGGACTTCTGAGATTGTAATAGCACCGATATAGCGACAACATCAAAAAACATGGCATGAAATTAAGTACAAAAATGACAAAAAAGATGCTGTTGTGCTTTTGTACAAAAGTGAATCTTGGCCGATCCGTGTAGATGATTTGCGTCGCATTTCGGCCTTTGGCAACGATTGGCTGCCCAGGATATCTCGTGTGTGGTGGGAGCACCATGTTAACAACGTCGCGTCCTAGGTTATACGGGTCTACCTCATGACAAATTTATATCGCTGCGCCAACTGAGGTGGCCAGGCCACGTTCTACGCATGCCGTGCAAGCGTTTACCACGGCGCGTTCTATTCGCTCGCGCAAGGCCCCACTAGAAGAAATCATGCGGTAGCCAACCTACGACATGGCGACAAAACGTCAACGCGCTGACTTCCAGTCTAGCTTTTGTCCGCCCCGTAAGTTACCCGAGCTGTGGAGTCCGAGATGAAGAATATCGCTGGTTGGAGACTTTTGAGGACATGGTGCCCTATGGAAGGCATGCAAGAGTCTGCATTGATTCGAATACTCAACACCGTAACCTCTAAACCAATGTTTCTCAAAGTGTGGTCTGTAGATCCCCAAGGGGTCGGTGGGCTACTTTCAGAAGGTCCGCAGGAGTTTCCAGATTGTCATTCTGTTAAACATTTTTATGGACGTGATGGTTTTATTATATGGATCGATGAACAACCTGCTGTGAACATTTGTTAAACAACATCTGATGGTCTACATTGGGTTTGTGCATTGCCCAAGAAATATACTCTTATCATTCGGGCGCTTCAGTTCTAAGTGTAGGTTGATTGAGGGCCTATGGCAAGCTTTTCTCACCCTTCGCTATATCCAGTGGTGTGCAACAAGGGTGCCCTTCATCACCATCCCTCTTTAACTTTGCAATTGTGGACGTCCTGTTGACATCCCTGGAAGGCTCTCAAAAACTTGTTGTTGAGATTCTTCCTGCCAACCACGTGACCGATTTAAAGTATACTGATGATATCGCTCTGCTTGGTGATGATCTACATAGTGAACAGTACTTTTTGAACCGTCTGGTTGAAGCGTCTAAGCATGACATATGCTTTCCCCCTTTAAATATAAAATGCTACTCCAGGACTGGAAGGCGTCTGCCTACTCACATACCATGAACACAGTTAGAGCTAGTGGACAACTCTATCCACCTCGGAAGCTGCTGATGGCACTAGTGAGAAAGAGGGATCTCTTCACATCGCCAAAGCCCGGTAGGCATTTACCAACTTGAGTCATTTGTGGCGTCGTCGAGACATATTCCTCTCTTTAAAAGGAAGGGTCTACAACGCTTGCGTCCGCGCGGTCCGGTGGTACGGAAGAGTCCTGGCCGATTCGTGTGGGTGACATGCGTAGGATTTTGGCCTTTGACAAAACATGTTTGCGGCGGATAGCCCGTGTGAGGCGGCATCACCGGGTTCGCAACGACGAAGTCCGGTACCGCGTCTTGAGAAACATGAGCCCTCCACTTGATCGTTTTGTCGCAATGTGTCAATTGAGGTGGTTTGGCCATGTTCTACGTATGTCATGCGAGCGCTTTCCACGATGCGCTTTATTTGTTCGCAAGGGATTGCAGTGGAAGAGGTGTGGAGGTCAGCCAACCACATGGTGGCAAACCATATAATCGCTGACCTCCCGTCTCGCCATCGTCGTCTGTGTACGTCTTCCTGGTTGGGGGCTCAAGGAAGGGTATTGCAAAAGGCTTCACACGGCGATATGGCGCGAAACGGGAATCAATGACGGGATTGTATACTGAAATGTTTTGAACAAGATTTACAGAGCTATAGCATTCAAAATGCCAAGAAAAAAAGAAAAACGTGAGTGGGAACAAACAAATGCAAAAAAGCTCGATATTTGTCAGCTGTTACTGACATTTGAACATGTTTTATTTTGTCCCTTGTGGTTTTTCGAAATCCCAATGTCTGTTTACAGACTGATACATATAGTTCAGGTGAATTTGCTACGGTGTCGCAATGCAATTTCTATTACCTCATCTTAATCTTCCCCAGAATAATCTTTTAATAACTTGCACCCGCCACTTAAGCTAATATTTACCGATAACATCGCGTCTGTGGCATTTCTTTTAAATACATTTTCCGACATCCTGCACTTATCGCAGATTTCTTGATAACCTATTAACATTTAGCGAGGATGTCTGTCAGCCTTTCCGTGGCTTTTTCGATATATAGTATTTGTAATTCTCATTGCAAGTGAATGGTTGTTTGACAACTCTGGTGTGGCTGCGCTGAATGTGCATGTTGACAAGGTGAATACCTGTTCATTACCCACCACCTCGTCTATCCTGGCTCCAAGAGTATATATATATATATATATATATATATATATATATATATATATATATATATATATATATATATATATATATATATACATACATATACATACATACATACATACATACATATATACATATATACATATAGAAGCCATTATAAAAATGCCACTACCAACAGCTCTACAGTCCTTGCGATCCTTTTGTGGGCTCATCAGCCACTACAGCGCATGCTTGCATGAGATGCACCGCCCGCATGCCCCGTTAAACAAGCTACTAGCCAAAGGCCAAACTTGGAACTGGACATTAGGATGCCAAAATGCCTTCGAACGTGTCAAGGCATTGCTGTCCTCAAACTTGCTTTTGACTCATTTTGATCCCTCCAAAGAGATTGTCCTAACCACAGATGCATCAAGCCATGGGACTGGCGCAGTAATTTCACACAGGTACACCGATGGATCTCAGAAAGCAATCGCCTATGCCGCCAGAACACTTACAAAGACCGAGAGGAATTACGGCCAGATTAAAAAAGAAGCATCGGCCATAGTGTTCGCGGTCAAGAAATTCCACAAAATGCTACACACGGCTGCCGCTTCAAGCTTCTGACAGATCACAAACCCTTGCCGGCTATCTTTGGTTCGAAAAAGTACATCCCGGCCTACACAATCAACCGGCTAAAACGCTGGGGTGATTTCGAGATCCACTAAAAGTCGACAGTTTCCATTGGCCAA